GAGAGAGAGAAGAAAGAGCCTAATGGAAAGTCGCCTGTTTAGGAATTTATCCAGAGGGAAAATGGACTTGGCATCCAGTCACATTCTTGACAACTGGCACTTTTAACATTAAATAAGAACACACTGATGGTATTAAATTAATTTTGATTAAGATTTACAAAATGCAGTCTGTGACCATATATTTGAGGCAGGCAGCTTTCAGACTCCCGTGATACCTTTTATAATTTTCTCTCCCTCCCCCTTTCTATTCCTCCCTGCAAACCTCAATTTGCCTGTGTCAGAAACATAAAGCCCGGTTTAATTAGCATACAAAATAGCATCCCTTGATTAACAATGCTGTATCTTTTGGTTCCTTCTGGAAATAATAAGTGGATAAATCACTCTTCAGCGAGAGAAATCTGAAAGAAAGAAAGAGAGAGAGAAGGAGAAAGAGAAAGGGAAGGATTCTTACTTCTACTTAGATGGGTTGAGGCTGGTGGTCTATTTATCCTTTTCAAATGTTGTTTATTTATTTATTTATTTTTAATCCAAACTTATAAAACAACTTTAGGACTCTACCAAAACATCCGTTATATTTCTCTTAGATCAATAAAGTTGTTGTTGTTGTTTTAATTAATAGCGTTACCGGTGTCTGCACTAGGTACAGAGGTTCTGCTGGGGATTTTCTGAGCTCCTCTGATCCTCATGCCTAGTTTGGGAGATTTTGCATTTTCGCTCCCCGTCCCCCCCCCCGCCCTCGATCCAAATGCTTGGTTCTGGTGTTGGATGGTGGCTGGCTGGCTGCTTAACAACAGGCCCCCACCACACACACACACACCTTCCTCCACTTCCAAGAGGAGATGGTTGTTGGCAGGGGCAGAATGAAAGAGGGGATCTTCCTCGTCCTGTGCCCTGCCTAATAGTCTCAAGAAATGCTATAAAGTCCTGGTTAATGTCCGAAACACATTGTTAAGTGTTTAAAATGTGGCCGCTACACACAATGCCCGCCAAAGTAGTTTAGTTGCTCCAGAATTGACCATTATCTTTTATAGTTAAGCATCAAGTGCACATTATTAGTTTTACTTCACTGGCTTTGACGAGGCGAGTTGATGTTTGCTTGGCTTGGCCTTGTTAGCGATTAAAGAAAACACCCGAGTGGAATTCACGAGTTCCTAACCCGATCCAAAGCGCGCTTCCGCCGCCCCCACCAAAGTAGTTTAGTTGCTCCAGAATTGACCATTATCTTTTATAGTTAAGCATCAAGTGCACATTATTAGTTTTACTTCACTGGCTTTGACGAGGCGAGTTGATGTTTGCTTGGCTTGGCCTTGTTAGCGATTAAAGAAAACACCCGAGTGGAATTCACGAGTTCCTAACCCGATCCAAAGCGCGCTTCCGCCGCCCCCACCCACCCCACCCANGACCCTGAGTGCCTTGACCATCAAAGCCAGGCGCATTGGTCCTATAAACGCAACAATAAAAGGGGCCTGGATGTGAGTTGCGGGTTGCTTGTTGCCCTGTACTTTGGCTTAAAGAAACCAAAGGTGTCCTTAAAAGAAACCCCTTGACCGCAGAGGGATATATCTTGTGTTGCAAACGCTTCAAAAGAAAAGAAAAGAAAAGAAAAGAAAAGAAAAGAAGGGAGATTGAAAAACCTGTTTTCGGACCGTGCTTAGTCTCTGATTTAGATTTCCCTCCACCCCACCCACCCCCCAGCCTCTAAGTTTCTTAAGATTCTTCGTAGAACAATTTAGCCTTGCTAGATCGGACCAGGGGTCCAGTTCTTCTCCCACGGTGGACACTCAAGCAGACTGCCCCGAAATGCAAAACGAATAGGACAAGAGGGAGCTAGTAGCTGGCCCTTGTGGTCAAATGTGTTCAGAAGAGGTGTGTATTCCTATATATCCCTGGGCTTAGTTTTTCATAGACTCATCCATCCTTCTTTCTCCGCTGCCACCCCCCCCTCACCGGCCTTTAAAAGCATTTCCAGAGGGATCTATAAATTCGCCATCATTTTTATTTAGATTTTAACAGACTTTTGTGATCCGTCGGCCTCTTTTCTTCTCTAACCCGGCGTTCCCTTCCCTACACGAAAGTAGACTGGTGGCGCTGGTGTTGCTCTCGTTGTTACTCCAGGCGGGAAGGTTCCTACCAGTTCAAAGCTTGCTTCTGGATTGATTTAATAAGCCGCATTTCCTCTGGTGTGATCAAGGAAAAATGGAGATCCCTCACACAGAAAGCAGGCTTCTGTAGATGTTGAGAGATCCGTTCTGAATCAAGGAAGGCCTCTGGAACAGCAAAGAGGGGTCGTGGGTGGAGCCTTGCTTTCACTGTGTTTACATCTGAATTTTTAAGGCTAAGTCCACTGATAATACGTTTTCTACATACTAGGCGATAAAATGGTTTCTGATGTGGTATTCATTTTGGAGGAAAGTGATATGGCCCTCAAAGGAAGCTGATAAGACGTTGTTCACCACACATTAGCACATTGTAGTACATTGGAAGGTAAGCGGGGCTGAGGAAATACAAACAGTATTACTATGTAGTACAAAAAAAAAAGAGGGAGGGAAGTCTTTCCAGAGGCTGCTGAATTGGTTCTCCTGGCTGGCTTCCCCGGTTAAATTCCACTGAAAGAAGTTGAAGTTAGGGGTACAGTCCTTGGCAGGCCATCGGCAAGAGGCGGCGGCAATCATGTGTATGTGTGTAAATGTATGACTAGGGCGGCGTTAGAGAGATGCCTTAGCTTTCCCTGTGAGCCCTATCCTGTGAGCCCGGCCAAGTTGCAACAATCTCTACTAAGTTACCTCTCCGAGGGTCAAGAAGACCCAGGAAAGCCGCCTCCGTTTTAACTTGCCTCCCGCTTTGTCGCTCGCCTTCCTGGACTCTCCATAAACAACAACAACGTGTCCGAAGGGAATTTCGTCCCCATAGGCCGAAGAAAAAGGAATGCAAGATACTGAGCCGAGTGAGATGTCACTGCCCGATACTTAATCTGCTGATGGGGGGCCGCTTTGGGGCATTTTTCTGGCAGCAGCGCGGCCCGCAGAGGCAGCCTTGCCGACCAATAAACAAAGTTCAAAATCTAAGCTCCGTATCAGGGCGATAACTTTATTAGGCCAACTTTTAAGAAAATATTATGAGCGTAGGAAAGCCGCAGTCTTCTGTGCAAGCCTTCTGGGTCACAAGACCCACTTGCTCAGGCGTGGTGTGGGTGCTTTGTATGAAAGCCAAGGGTAAGCCGGTTCTCGTAGGAGAGGGCAAGTGATGTTTGAAAGGGTCCCCTCTGCAGATGGCCCCGGCTTGGGCAGAAGTGAAGCCGGTGCCTCGCCTCGCAGATTTCCTTGGCATTCTTAGCGCTTTTGAGGACTTTTTATGGACGAAGACGTGGGTGCCAAAACGGAACCCAAGCCGAAGATTTACTGCGCAATCTTGAATCCTTCAAAAGAATATTCTTTCTCGCTTGGGAACAGAGACAGGCAATCATTGAAATCCTACCAGCTGGGGCAGTTGGGAACAAGGGTTCCTAAATATGAATTCACAACCTTTCATTTTTTTAAAAAAAAAGGTTAAACAATATTTGTAGTCAAGAAAACTAATATTTGAACGAACAATTCCAAAAAAATCCTGGTACGTATATGAATTCCAAGCGAGCTCAGGCCCGAATCGGAGAGAAACAGAGCCCCGTTTCTTGTTCCGCATTATAAAAATCTATCTTCCTTGACTGACGGTTTCACTCTCCGTCTGCTAGCTGCCTACCATCTCTGCCACAAACACAGATTGCCTGTACAGTGTTGTCTAGCAATTCTTCTTAGGGCTTTTATGGGTGGGAAGTGATTGCAAGGGAGAGCGGATGACCCTGAAAGGATCCAAGTTGAAGCCACTTGCAAACCCTCTTCAAGTTGGACACTCTTGAATCAATAGCTTAGCGTATGATAATACAGTACCGGTTAGATTCTTTTTCTGCTATTATTTCTGCTTAGTATTTTCGCTGCAAGCCAGATCCGTGGGGCTCACCAGCTGCAAAATTAGACTCCAGAGATGGGTTGTTACTGCTTCTGCGATACTAGATAGGATTATTTCTCAGAGCCTTACTTCAGCTTTTTTTTTGGTGGGGGGGGTTGTTTGTTTTTTGCTGGGAGATCTCATTTTATAAGTTGTAATCCTGTGGACACTTACCTGGAAGGAAGCCTCTATTGAAAGCAGCCCCCCTCTTAAAAAAACAACAACACCCAGAGGACTGGCACACCAAGTGAACGGCAGGGTACGAGGATTATCTTCATTACTGTAGTTGACATCTTGAGGAGCCACTGGGTGACTTTATGATGTCCGTAAACCTTCACTGCTAGTGAGAAGGTCAGGTTTGGTTTAGAACTTCCAGTGGCCCATGATACGTAATCACCACTATCATCATCGTAACACTAAAGTAGGTAAGCAAATACATGTCCCAGAGCCTAGCCGTAAATACCAGGATTTGATGGCATTATTAATTTGATCACAGCTACCGGCTGTGCAATAAGGTGGAGGGAGGGGGATTGGGATATACTGGGAAAGGAGCTGGGGGAGGAATGGTGAAAGGTTCGTTTATAGATCGCTTTATGATCTAAACACTTAACAGCCATCCTGCACCGTTGCAGTTTTATATTAGCACATATGCTAATAGAAACTCTAAATTATAGGACGCATTTTTTAAAAATAGGCAAATTGTTCTATTGTTTTTCTTCTCCTCTCCTGGGCTGTGCCACTTACATTTGTCCCCCTCCAATTCTTGCAGACAGACAAATGCAGCAATGTGGGAACATCGATTACTCATGGAATATATATATATTCCATACAAAGGCACATACTTATACACACACATATCTATATGTATAGGAAATTCACAAGTGGACCCGAGAGCAGCTTAGTGCCTACGAAACCAAACTGGGAGGGGTTGCTGGGGAGGGCTGGGTTTCCATTGGCTGTACGCACTTGCCGTGGCGCAGGGGTATCTCTAATCATATTCAGCATGTTTTGCACAAGAAATGTCAGCCAGAAAGGGCTATCTGCTCTCTTCGCCAAATTATTCCACGACAATGGCATGCTCGGAGGGCCCCGCTACAAACTCTTTTTTGGTGGATTCCTTGATAAACTCAGCTTCGGGAAGAGGGGAAGGAGGAGGAGGAGGTGGCGGAGTTGCAGGAGGAGGAGGAGGAGGAGGAGGCAACGGCGGTGGCTTCTATCCCAACAACAGTGGTGTCTACCTGCCACAGGCGTCCGATCTGTCCTATGGGTTGCAAAGCTATGGACTTTTCCCGGTCCTGAGCAAACGCAATGAAGGTCCATCTCCAAGCATGGTCCCCGCTTCCCACACTTACATGTCAGGGATGGAAGTCTGGCTAGATCCCCCAAGGTCCTGTCGCCTGGAAGAACCCGAAAGCCCGCAGGCTACCTCCTGCTCCTTCGCTCCAAATATTAAAGAGGAGAACTCCTACTGCCTCTATGACTCTGACAAAGGCCCCAAAGAAGCCACAGCTACCGACTTATCGACTTTCCCAAGGCTAAACTCTGAGGTCTGTTCCATGAACAATGTGACCACCGGGGTGCCTGTCCCAGGTTACTTCCGCTTGTCTCAAGCTTATGGCACCACGAAGAGCAGCAGCAGCAGCAACAACAGCAGCAGCAGCAGTAACAACAACCACCAGCACCACCAGCACCACCTCCCAGGGCAAGGAGTTGCTGCTTCCCAGTTTCCCCCGCATCCTCCAGTACGATTTGACACCCCTCCGGTCTTGCCTCCGGCGCTCCCCCCTCCCGACCAGGGGAGAAAAGAGGATGAAGATTCTTCTCCACCTAGCACTTTGGTCTGCGTTTCCCAAAGCGGGGAAGAAGAAGGGCAGGCTTCTTCCGCGGCAGAGGAACTCTCGCCCACGCCTTCCGAGAGCAGCAAGCTTTCCACGGAGAAAGAAACCCTGGGTAAGAAAAAAAAAAGGAGTGGGGGGAGGTGGAGAAAGCACCTCCAAGAGAAAAAGGATGGGTGGGTGGGGGTATTGAAGAAAGGAGGTTAGGTCGTCAGGTTAGCAAAAGAAATGTTCGGCCACCAGCCGGCAAAAAAAAAAGGATGGCTTAAGCTGATCTACTCAACTGCAGTCATATTTGGACACTAGGATAAAACGGTAATAATAGTAAAATCGATGCCCACCCTTTCCAGTTTCTAAGCCTTCGGGAGCTGGCTATGAGCCAAATCCTAAAGCCCAACTGCAAGGTGGGGGGGGGAGTTATCTGTCTCTGCGGAAAGTGAGGCAGAAGTGCTTGAAGAGATAACATAGATGTTTGTAAAGCGTCCAAAGTAAGCAAGAGGCCAGGGCCAATAAATAAACCCATTAACAGGCTAAAGTTCTAGTTTACGATCCTGGATGCCTTTTAAAAAAAGGCAGCTCGGTTGAAATCCTCCTTCTGTGAAGTCCTATCAAATTGGATTGCCGATAACACCGGGAAAGTTCTCGGGCGCTTAAGGAGGCTTCCATAATACCTAGGCTAAGGGCCATTGTCATGAATGGAAGCGGTGCAGAGAACACCAGAAAGTCTCTGTTTGGCACCCATTCATCTCCATGGGCCTTTTTGTAGGGAGACTTGCTGGTGCCTTGTCTCCTGAAAGCAAAACAAACTAGAACTTCTGCAGCTCAGGGATTTTCAGCTATTGCACCTCCAGCAATAATTCCTAATGAGGTTATTGTGCGTCACTGCATGAATGTGTATGTATATGTGTATTCATGAGCTTGCCTGTATACAGAGAGGTGGCTTTCTCTACCTCTGAGTGTACATTAATGAATATATAGAAAAACGGATGCTTACATTTTAAATGTGTGCATATGCAGACAAATGGACATGTGCATTTTTAAATGTGGTGTGATGAACCACATTTACACTAAATTTCCAATTGCCATAAATGCAGTTAACAAGTAGGGGGAGAAATGGAAACACAGAGTTCGATCGTTTAGACGTATTCTTGTTCCAAGGGGCTAAAAGGTCTGACTCCTAAATAAATGTATTTGGAGAGGGCGTCTGCAATTGGTTCATAGAATTGGGCAGAAATATTCACAGAAGGAATAAAAACCAGAGCAATGTTAAATTTAGCACCTGATTGGTGTTGTTACAGGGTTTTTTTTTAATTGTTTGGCCTTTTGCCTCTAAACAAAGCGTTTCAAAGGGAAGTAAGAGGTTAAGTTACTGCCGCGTGGAAGTACCGTAGGACGCCACTGCCAAAGGCACCGCTTATGCGTCGGTGTCCACTGCAACAGCGACCGGCTTTTCCAGACGAGAGAGAATCCCTGGTTGGATGTTAATAAGGCCATTTTCTGGCGTGCTTAAAAAAAATACAACCCCCAGCCCCGCAAACGAACCTTAAAGGAAGATCTTGGTGCCCGTAGAAGCATTTCATAAATACTACACTCAGCAGTACATGTTCGGGCCAGCGTTTGCCTTCTTTTCTCTCGTCATTTGGTAATATCCTTTTTTTTTTACTTCCTTAAAACCAGGCAGCTCCAAAGGAGAGAACGCAGCCAACTGGCTAACCGCAAAAAGTGGCAGAAAGAAACGGTGCCCTTATACCAAGCACCAGACCCTGGAGCTGGAAAAGGAGTTTCTTTTCAATATGTACCTGACTCGTGAGCGTCGCCTAGAGATCAGCCGCACAGTCCACCTAACAGACAGACAAGTGAAAATCTGGTTTCAGAACCGTAGGATGAAACTCAAGAAAATGAACCGGGAGAACCGAATTCGGGAGCTCACAGCCAACTTCAATTTCTCCTGATGAACCCTACCGGCGCATTGTTTGTGGTCTAAACAGCCAGGACCGTTTTTCACCCCCCCCCAAACCACCCACCCAAATCCCAGCGGCTTTAGCTACTAACTAGCACCTCTATGGATTTGAACCTTCTTATCACGTTCTCAACCTCTCTCCAGAGCATCTTCATAAATGATTTTGTTGGGATAAAGCCATAACGATATACAGGACGCCATCCCTCCTACTGCCCTTATTTTCGCTCTAGGGTTCGGGCTCCGAGAAGTAGTTTTTTTCCCAGAACCTTAGAGGTCTCTCCCCCATCTCCTTTCAGAAAACTGAGCCAAACCTAGCTGAAGGTAAATAGTATCTTCCCCTTAACACATATATACCCCTAAACCCATTCACACATTGGTAGGTGTTAGTTCTATGTTTGAACTGGGTTTACCTGCCTTTTCAGTGCTTTAAATTTGGTTCCTCTGCTGCTTAACACGGTTGATTTTTTGTTTGTTTGTTTTTCACTTTTGCGTAGCCTACGCGAAGGGGGGGAAAAGTTGTCTGGAATAAGGAATCAAAACTGTGCGTCTCTCTGCTGTTTGTTCGTTTGTTTTCCCAAACGCTGAAAATCACAGTTGTCAAAATGTCCGTGAGGGGAAAACTGAGACCTCTTCCCCGTTCCATCCCAGAAAGTTAGGAACGGTTTTCAGTTCTTTATTACCTAAATTATTTTGGATTCTGGTCGTGATAATTACGGAGCGGTCTTTTTTGCTTTGGATAAAGTGGGTTACTGCTAGTTACGCTTGACAAGCACATACAAGAAAGAACGGCGGGGGGAAAATCTTGGCCTTGGGATGGGGAAAAGAAACCAGACCTGGTGCCCAATCCATCCTGGGGAGAAGTGTGTTATTCTATATACATTGAGTTCCAGAATGATTTCCTGTCTACGTTAAAGAGCCAGGGAGAAGATGTACGTATTTCCTTGATAATGTGAAGTTACATGCGTTGCAAAGGTCAAGCGTGTAGTGCAAACAAAGAAAAGAAGAAATAATAATCTATGGATACAGATATGTATAAATGTCTATTAATATTATTAATATTATTAAAATGCCGATACAGTTGGAAGCAAAGCATTCTATATCATTATTCGAAATGTTAGTTCTAGGTTTATCTTGTTCTTACCTTAAAAGCGAATAAATTAACATTGCAATGGTGCTGTGCGTGGAGCTAAAAGAAAAACACAACAAAATGGAGAAGCTGTTTATGTTCTCTTAGAAGAATAAAGGACATGGAATGAATCCCCCTTTAAAAAAAAATAACCTCGTTTTGTGGCTGTTTATTCTCAGGGTCTTACTTTTAAATCTCCAAGAACTTTTACAACAGGGAAGAGTTTGCCCGAGCCCCCTGCAATTACTTTAGGAATCTATTTAAATATTACCTAGACGGTCGTAATTTGTCTGGGCCATATAGCAGCGGTGCTGTAAGGTTTGTCGGCTTTTGTTCAGTTTTATGACTTGCTAGTATATCTAGATTGTTGCTGTCTCGAGCGAGGGGTTTCATTTGAGTGAGGAGCTGAGCAGACAGAGGAAGTCCAGAGATATTTGATTGTAGATGATTGTTTTACTATTGTTATTGCGATTATGATTGTGATTTTTATTTTAATCGTGCTTTGAAATCACAAGGATCGGTTTAAATTCTCCCAGTCGAAGCGCAGAACTATTCTCAGCTTTAAAAAGGGGAAACCTAGATGACTCAAAATAAGCAGTCCGAAAAGGTGAGCGCGCGTGGAGTTCGAATATTTCAGCACGGCTTCTTCCGATTAATCCTGGTTTTCCGCCATGTTTGCCCTCCGCCTACCTGGCAGCATTCATAGATGCCTGGGCAGACGTGGGCGCCCTTTAGGCGCTAGAGGGTGGCATGTTTATGAAATAGAAAATTCCAGACAAAG